ATGAAAATTTTAAATTATATCTTATTTTATTTACTTTATAGCCATAATCATCATGTTAAAAGATAATTATTATATTGAACTAAATATGATAAAATATATATATAAAATTTAGAAATTTTATTTTCATAAATATAAAGTATTTATTTTAAAAATATAATATGATGACAAAACGGTTTAAAATTAGCAAACTATATAATACATGTCAATAATTAACATATCTTAGACTTTTGTATATACGATAATATATTATCTAAAACGAATGTATAGAAAGTTAAAGAAAGTAAAAGCCCCTTATCGTAAAAATAAAAATATTGGTAAAAAAAATCTAATTTTGAAGAACGGGTCAGAATTTATCATAAATAAATACAAAATAATTTCCAAATGTGTTTTCTCATGAATATATTAATTTTCTTAATAACTAAATGCAAATACAATAAGATAAATATATAATAAGAAGTGACAAATAAATATGGTTTTAAAAATTATTAATATAACATGTAAATTATAAAATTATTGTATTTGAAATAGTTATATAAACATTTAAGTATGTAATCAACGTTGAAAATGTATACCACTTATGTTCTACAACAAATATTTATGTATATAAAAGTGAAAATAAATATCCACGCAGATCAAATCTAGTAAATGGTAAATTGTAAAAAGTATGGTTAGACAGAGTACACAATTTAAGTAAAAGGTTATCTACCATATATAAGATTTTTTAAAAGTATATATGATTTCCAAATTGTGCAGTTAACTGTTAAAAGATAAACATATCTTAAATTTTTACAAATACAATTGTTTGTTTAGATATCAAATAAAATGTTAGAATTTTACTACTTTTTCATTTTCAAAATGTGAATCAAAAATTAATTACCTCCAGTTGTGGAGAAAGAATTCATATATGACATGGACCACAATAAATTAGCTTGTTTTGGTTTACTTTTAGATATGTTTGTAATTAATAACTCCATAATTTTATTTGAGAAGTAAGTTTTGGACGTGTCGTGCTCACGTTAATTCACACAATGGTTTATTACATAGATACTTTAAATGATTTAAATACTTATGATTCTTATTATTTTTCTTAATAAATTGTGATTAACATTTTAATTTAATTTTTCCTTTTCACTAAAGCACAGAAATAATAAAATATAAAAAAATCTAAAACAAAAACATGGAGTTCTATATTAAAACAATTTTGTTTTTATTCTTTATGGTTCTTAAAACAAAAAAATAAAAATAAAACATATCTATAGATTTTTAAAATATATACTTATATATAACATAGCTTCACAAAACAAATTGAAAAAAAAAATTTAGACATTATTTCTAAAATATAATCATATTTCTAATTGTATTTTTGATCAAATAATAAATAAGCAAATAATTTGAAACAACATAAACGAATATTTAATATCTTATTTTTAAAAACATGATTCTATCTTATGATTATTTTAAAACCAAAAAAAATATTTGAAAATATGAAGCTGCAACAAGATAAATAATAGTTTTTTATGATCAATATCTTTTTGGTTAATTAGATTTTTATAAAAAAATTTATCAACACTTCAATCTTTTTCAATTTTATCGAAAACAACATATATCAAAATATAAACCATCTTACAATATATATATGTATAATCATAAGATAAGAGTAAAAAATCTAATTGACATGTGCTTATTTTTAGTCTAATTATAACAAAAAAATGTGATTCATTTAAGAACATTGATACAATTCAGGTACTAAAATATGAATAACAAACCATTGTTAATGTAAGCAATCAAAACAACCAATATACTACAAGTTATATTTGTTAAAGCGAGTTTGAAATATTTATGTTTTCTATTTGCTTCTAAAACAGTATATACCCATTTATAAAAAAGTTACAAATATATTTACAAAACAGGAGGATGAACTGAACTACTTGAATTTTTAAAACATAATCATCATATTTGAACATAATAAAAATATTTTTTTAATTTAAAATAATAGATGTAATTCAACATATCAAAAATAATATTTAAAATAATATAAATATTATATGTAAAATCTTATATCTATAGAATGGAACATAGTGATACGTAATATTTTTATTATATAAATTAAAATAACTTAAAACTTATAAACAAACAATTAGTATTTATGAATTGTTATTATTTATTACGTAAGTATTTGTATTCGTGCATGGGAGAATCTCCTAATTTAAAATAATATGTGTAACATTTAGGTTATCTTTCTCCTCTATGTAGTTAAACTAATATTCATTTGACTTCTTTTATTTCTAGGTTTTCCGTTTATAAAACATTGTTTATTAAGTCTAGATAGACAACCAAGTCTTGGGACTTGGACAAGCTGACAAGATATGTCAACGTGGATGATATACCTCTCATACGGAGTATAGCTATTAGCTCGACTTATCGCAGAGATACACACTGCTGGAGTTACACTAGGAGTGGACAATATATAGTCAAGTCTGGTTATTGGGTAGCTCGTAATATACTTATGAAAGAGGATGAGATCTTAGTAGACGAACCAAGCTTTAAAAGGCTCCAAGCACAAGTTTGGAAGGTTAAAGCGCCCCAAAAATGTGTCATCTTATGTGGCAGATTATATCAGGGCAGGTGGCTGTTACGAGTGCGCTGAATCGTAGACACATAAGGTGCGATAATGTATGTCCACGATGCGGAAAACTGGATGAAACAATTACACATGCAATATTTCAATGTCCACCAGCTTTACAAGCATGGGCCCTATCATCAATTCCAACCAGTGTTACTTTATTCCCTTTGGAGAGCACTTTTTCGAATATGGATTATCTGTTCTGGCGGAAGAAGAGTATTTGTGGACCAGATCTAGATAGAGATCCTCTTCCTTAGTTGATATGGTACATTTGGAAGGCTCGGAATGACAAGCTGTTTAGAGGTATTGATAGGGATCCTCTGGAATTGGCCCGGTATGCAGAGAGCGAGTGTCTTGCCTGGTTCCAAGCTAATGAGCAGGATATTAGGATTACACAAGAGGACGGAGACACTGAGCGGCAGGTCATAAGCCTACGCAACATTTGCATGATAGATGGTTCTTGGACCTCTACGGATCAATTTTTGGGTTGTGGATGGGAGTGGAAGGATAGTTTGGGAAATAGTCATCTGATGAGGATGCGTAATGTGAGTAGAGTGGAGTCGGCTTTGCATTCTGAGCTGGAGGCGCTGCGGTGGGCAATGGAGAACATACTTCAACATTCGCCATGTCAGAGCTTTAGTACGGATTGTAAGGATTTGGTAGCAATGCTCAAAGACCCTCACGGATGGCCAAGCTTTTCGACGGAGCTGGAGAGGATCTCGACATTACGGATTTGTTTCCCAGATTTTCAGATTTCTTATGTACCTCGAGCTCTAAATACTGTGCCAGATCATTTAGCTAAGTCTGTCCGATCCTTTTATCGGGAACTCATGTATGTTGGTTGTTCTATTCCGGTCTGGCTCCCCAGACCACCTCAAGCTTGAGTAATAGATCAGCCTTTCGTTGTCAAAAAAAAAAAAAAAAAGACAACCAAACAGTCTTAATATTTTTTGTTCGGAAGATGTAAACTACTTAAGCCTGGTTACAATTAGGGGTGGGCACGAATCGGATATCCGGGTTTTCAAAGGTATTTATGATTTGCTTCGTATGTTACGGATATCTGATTTTGGTATTTGCTTTGCTTCGGAAAAATACGGATATCCGAAAAATAAACAGATATTTGCGGATATTTACGAATACTTACGAATATCTCATCGGTTAAAAATAATCTTATATAAATTTTTTTTGTAAAATTTTTTTTACATGATATATAAAATAAAAAATAAAGAAGTAGTGAATTTACATATTTTATAATTTTTTTATGTTTAAGTTAACAACTATAATAACACAAAACTTAAGATTTTTTTATAATTTTCATAATTTTTCTCTTCTTTTTATCTAATAATTTTATATAAGTAATAATGTGAATCTAATTAGTCAAATCATAAGCTATAATAATAATTTTATACATTTAAAATTATTATTATAATCAAAATATACATATATTTATATATTGATCGGATCGGATATCCACTTCCCAAAATTTTAATATTTGTGATTTGCTTCGATTTTAACGGATATTTATTTTTAGTATTTGCTTTGATTCGAAAGTTTACGGATATCCGGAATTTTCGGATCGAATCGAAACGAATAACGAATCGAATCAAATTTAACGAATAAAATGCCCAGCCCTAGTTACAATAACAAAGATGTTAACTACTTTACCGTTTTCTTATAAAAGGGACACACAAGTATATGTATATGATACCTTGTTGCGTGCATCTAAAAAGTAATTAACGTCTTTTTATAAAGAAATAGTTTGATAAGTGTTTTTCATGTAATTAGCCGTTCTTTAGAATAAACAATGCACTATTCACATGTGATATTAATTATTTTAACCTGCTATTTCTAGTCATTGACATGTTGTACTCTCTCTTTCTCTCTTTCTCTCTTTCTCTCTTCCAGCAAATTTTATCCTTTTACTTTTCTAACATACAAATAAACTATATAAAAAAACAGTTCTTTACTTCATTTCAGTAGGTCTTAAAAATTATAATTCCAGTACAGCTAGTCATGGAATATATAAAGGGTATAACTACAAACTAGGGGGTTTATTCTAGTGTCACTTTACGTTGATGGTTTTAATTTTTTTAATAAATAGTTGTATAAATAAAATTATTTTGAAAAAAAGAATATTCTTTTATTTTCTGTGTTTTACGTCATATAAGTTTATATTTATACAAGGAAATATAATATTGTTATATTAAGTTTCTTTTCACAAGTTTTTGTTGTTAGTTCCGGTTTATTTAAGTTATATATATATATATATATATATATGTTTACTTTTACCATATTCATCACTCTTATTATAAGTGTACCCCCCCTTCCATTATTGCTCTATATATCTTGCTCTTTTCAGTGAAACAAAACCAGAAAGAATAGTGAGAAACAAGAGCGAGGAAAGTATCTAATGAAGACGACGAATCGCTTCAATGTCATGGTTGCGGTTGCAGCAACTGTTCTTATGGGAATGCTTGGATCATCCGATGCTCAGCTTCAAATGAACTTCTACGCGAAAAGCTGTCCAAACGCTGAGAAAATAATTTCAGATCATATTCAAAAGCATATCCATAATGGTCCTTCTCTTGCAGCTCCTCTCCTCAGAATGCTCTTCCATGATTGCTTCGTCAGGGTATGTTCGTACTTTATGTACATATATAAATTAATATCCACACGCATCTAGTTCAATAGCTTACCAATAATGATGAGAAAATCTAGAAGATGTACTAATATATAAAATTGAATAAAAATGGTAATTTGATAGTAGTAAATTTGAGCTGTGGCAAAATATTTGATATTATTGAATTTTTATTAACAGTTACAACGATTTTAAATAAATAAATAATGAAGGGATGCGATGGATCAGTGTTGATAAACTCAACATCTGGGAACGCGGAGAGAGATGCACCACCAAATCTAACACTCAGGGGATTCGGTTTCGTAGAGAGGATCAAGACTATTCTTGAAGCAGAATGTCCTAAGACTGTTTCATGCGCTGACATCATCGCTTTGACCGCTAGAGACTCAGTTGTTGCTACCGTAAGCAAACAACTTGAAATTAATTAATTAAGCTAACGATGCAAATTAAACAAAAATGAAGTTATACTTTGAATGCTGTCTAAAGGGAGGTCCTTGGTGGAGTGTTCCAACCGGAAGAAGAGACGGTAGGATCTCTAATTTGGCTGAGGCTACGAACAACATTCCCGGACCGACGAGTAACTTCACAACGTTACAACAACGTTTCGCTAACCAAGGCCTTAATCTCAAAGACCTTGTTCTACTCTCCGGTAAGTTTCGATAACCGGAGATAACCAAATTGGTTTCGGAGTGCATGTAGCCCCACTTACCGCTATCTGTTTATAAAAAAATGTTCTAACCGGCTGTTTAGCCTAAACGTATTGCCTAAAAATAGTATGATATTAATAATATATGTAATTTTAAATACTTATGCTATTTAATTAAAGGTTCTAAGTAACAATTTTGATTTTGGATTAAAAGTTGTAAGTGCTATGTGCTGATTTGCTTATGATTTAGAGTTTTAGCTTTAGGATAAAGTAACCAGCCGGTTAATTAAGTATTTATATTTATATTGTTATAGTATTTTTTTAACATTGGTTAATTATCGTCTTGATATTCAATATGGACATTCGTAAAATTGGTTTAAATTTTCTTGTACTGTTTTTCTTTAGGGGCTCACACGATCGGCGTTTCGCATTGTTCTTCAATGAGTGAACGTCTCTACAACTTCTCGACGACAGTCAAACAAGATCCATCTCTGGACAGCGAGTACGCAGCCAACATAAAGGCCAACAAATGCAAGAACCTCAACGACAACACCACCATCCTCGAGATGGATCCCGGTAGCAGAAGAAGCTTCGATCTCAGCTACTACAGGCTTGTCTTGAAGAGGAGAGGTCTCTTCCAGTCTGATTCTGCTTTGACAAAGAACTCAGCGACGTTGAAGATGGTCAACGACTTGGTCAACGGTTCTGAAGAGAAGTTCTACAAGGCTTTCGCGAAGTCAATGGAGAAGATGGGGAGAGTTAAAGTGAAGACGGGCTCAGCCGGTGTGATCAGGACACGTTGTTCTGTTGCCGGTAGTTAGCTAGCCTGATGGGAAAGTGGTGTAATGTTGTATCCTGTTTTTTTTTTAATTGTGCCTTGTTGTTGTGTTTTGACTCTTGGGGGTAAAAGTGTTGTTAATTTGATTTTTATGTCGTTTCATTTGGGTTTATGCACCCAAAAAATTATGTTTGTGGTTCTATCAAAATATGAATCATAATAAAATTTACAATAATTTACATTTTAAATCTGGCATAAAACTTTGCATTGTTTTGAAGATAGAATGTAAATTTTATTCACACTCCAGTCCTTTTACATTAAGTGCGAATGATTTTGAGTTCTAGAATTTTAGAAACATAGTAAGATACATCTTTTAAAAAAACAGAGCTTAGCAGCATATGGCGAACTACAAATAAATTTGAACCGTATTTTTGATCTCTCATCCGCTCGAACTGACACTATACGGTTGCGAACATGTTTGTCTATCATCTTTGCAATCGATACCCATAATTCCATATAGTTGGTGTCTTGGTGAAGCTCCAAGTCTTTCTTTCATTACATTCCCTTCACATATAACATAACACACCTCACGAGGAAGATAGTGAGTTTGTCTTGCGTAATTAAGAAGATTGTTTCACAATTATTTATTGGTATAACAGTTTTGTGTCTCTTCATAGACATACTATAAATTCATGATACTTTTATACTTGAAAAACTGTATATAAGTCTCTCATTGGGTCAGCTTTTGGTGCCGAAAGTCCCATGTGTCAGTTCTTGCAAAATATCTCTTGGCTTCCGTAGGTGTTTCTTAGGCGGGAACCCATGGACCATGATCATGTGGCGTCACAACTGGTCCATAGTAAATTGTCCCAAACACCTTCATACCAACATTTTGTTTTTTTGGAGAAATGGACTACCAACAAGATATTATTACAATTTAGTTCAGACCAATCCAGCTCTAAGGAGATATAAGAAAAACAAGAACTTTAAAGTGACACAAAATTTGAGTCAAAATTTTAAAATGAAATGAACTGTCCACCTTGGACACATTAGTTTAAACGGTTTCGAATAAGTAAAATAGTAGACTCCAACGTGAAGGCTTATCAGGAAGACTATAGTTTCTTGTTAATGTCATTTTAGTCGTTACCATAATCGGTGAGACATCAAAGCTCCGTTTATACATCACTGATAGCATCCCCATATATCTCCACTTAGTAGTACGTACTATTACTATTATACAGTTTTAAGAGCTTGCTAGTGCCATATTATTGGCAACGTCTTGGATGAATCTTTGCAAAGCAATACGCGATGATCCATCACCCATTAAAGCTGCATGACATTTCTTGCTCATCTCCTTCACTCTCTTCCTCACGTCACTATCCTGCTCCATCAAACACCTCACTGCTCTCTCAATCTCCTCCGCCTTCACCAAGTCCACCGCCGCCACTCCACCCAAATGATCGCCTCTCCAATACCTTTTAATCTCCACAGCCAGTCCAAGCTCCTCCACCATCTCAAACGCGTTGAACTTTTGCTCTGCGTATAACGGCCAAGCAGCTGTTGGAACACCGAACCAAAGACTCTCTAGCAACGAGTTCCACCCACAATGAGTGACAAAACCTCCTATCGCTGGACTCGCGAGAATAGCCACCTGTGGAGCCCATCCGATAACCCTCCCTCTCTCTTGCGTCCGTTCCAAGAACCCTTTCGGGAGAACTTCCTCAAGATTCTTAAACTCTTCAGGATTCTCATTTAGTATATTGGACGAAGAGCGACGTAGAGACCATATAAAACTATGGCCACTTCTGTCAAGTGCTACTGCTATTTCTTGTACTTGTTCCTCGCTGAAGCCTCCCATGCTCCCGAAGCATAGAAACACTACTGATCTAGCTGGTTTCTCGTCCAGCCACCTCAATATCTCCTCATGTGTCTCGTCCACTTGGGGCTCAAGATGCAAAAGTGGTCCAACGGAATATGTTGGAGGAGTGATGGACGTATTAGTATATTCCAACACGTAAGGTTCCAGCTCAGCAACAGTATTTACGAGAATACCCTTCATCTCTTTGAATCTTCTTGCGTGATTCACGAAGATAGGGAGCCACAGTTCCGATGCAAGGCCGTGTGGAAGACATTTAACCGGATAAGGACGAGTCAAACCGGGAACGACTAACTCAGCTTCCGAGTCTTCAAAGTCACTTTCTCTAACGTGGTAGTTATCAGCATCGTATAGCTGCTGAATGTGAAACCCTAGTGCGAGTATCCCAGCGCTTGACGTGTAGAAAAGATAACTCGGGACGTGAAACTCGTTCGCCACGTCCATCATCGAAGTGCAGAACATGTCGAGGACGAAGCCGGCGATCCTAGGGGAGTTTGGTTGGGTCGAGTAGTGGTCGAAGAGCTTTTGAACGGCGCGTCTTACTGTTGGGATGTGGTTCTCTATATGCATGTCAAGGGTCGTAGGCTCAGGCTTAGAGGTTGTTTGGTCTTTGCCGGAGATCACTTGGTAGCGGAGGCGGTCGTTGGATGCGGCGGAGAGAGCTTCCACGTAGGGGGAAGCAGCGGCTGCGTTTCCGGAGAGGAAAGGAAGGATGAGAAAGGAGATAGTGAGGTTGTTTTCTTGCTGGACTAGTAGCTTCGCCATCTCAACTGTTGATCTGAGGTGGCTTATCCCAGGATACGGTATGAACACAAGCTCGAACTTCATGTTTTTTTTCGTCTTTCTCTGTTCGTGTTTCCTTTCGTCGGTTCGTTGTGTTCAATAGATTTACGAGAATTTGATTAATAGTAAGCTTTACCAATCGCATCAAGTTCTATTTCTTTGTGAACTAATTGACGGGGCTGTGGTTATCGGATGTGTCCGTTTTCTAGCCTCTGTTTTTTTATGTTTTCATTAATAAAAAAAAACTCAATATCCTGACATGTTATCTAGACTGTTTGTATGAGCATGGGCAACATATAAACATGTGGTCACAAGTTTTTCATATCCTACTACATATTATTAGGAAAAGAAGGGGTAGACAATGACACCATATATCAGTACTATAAAAGTGTATTATATAACTCAACTACACTTCCTAAACAACCCTAAACAATATTCACTTATGCACCAAAAAAACAATCCCTTAGAGCATGTTCATTGCTGAAATACTTAAGGATTCTTTAAGTGGGCTTTAATGACTTTTTAATTATTAAAAGTAATAGAAGAGACTTTATTAAGGGACACTAAATTTTAGAGGTTTATTGGTGGTTCCTTAACTAAAGTTCTCAAGAATAAAAATAATAAAATTTTTAGTGAAGATTTTAAAAAGATAAAATTTATTTATTTAATAAAACAAAATACAACATATCATTTTATACATAGATTTTAAAATACAAACATAAAAACGTTAAAACAAAGATTACTAAAATAAACGATATTAAGAGGCATCCTCAGTTGTTGTCTTGATCATGTCCAAATTTACGCCATATATGTTCAACCAAATCACCTTTCAATTGTTGATGCGCTTGTCTATCACGAATTCTTGTTCGAAAACTCATCTGATTGAATATATTTGTAGGGATATCTGTAGAATAGGTGAGATCGGCATGTGAACTTCCGCTTCCTTCTCCTTGTTAAAATCCGAAACATCATATTGAGTGTAGTCATCTCGTTCATTTTCTACTATCATATTATGAAGTATGATACATGCTCTCATAATCTTCTCAATCTTGACTTTATCCCAAGAAAGTGCTGGATTTTTAACAATGAAAAATCTAGCTTGCAAGACTTCGAAAGCACGTTCGACATCTTTTTGGGCCGCTTCTTGACGTTGAGCAAATAAGACTACTTTCGGCACTTGTGGAATTGGAATAAATTGGATAAAAGTTTCCCATTTTGAATAAATACCATCATTGAGATAGTAAGCCAAATGATACTCTCTCCCATTGACCGCAGACTTGTGGGGCTTGACCATTTACTATGTCATCAAAAACAGGTGAACGATCAAGGACATTTATATCATTTAAGGTACCTGGAGGTCCAAAAAACGCATGTCATATCCAGAGATCATATGAAGCAACCGCCTCTAAAACGATTGTGGGTTTTCCCGAACCACGAGAATATTATCCTTTCCAAGCGGTGGGACAATTCTTCCACTCCCAATGCATACAGTCGATGCTTCCTATCATACCGGGAAATTCACAAAGGTCTCCAATATGAAGTAGACGTTGAAGATCATCTGGTGTTGGTCTTCTTAGGTACTCATCGCCAAACAAGTCTATTATTACTTCCACAAAATTTTCCACACATAACCGAGTTGTGGTTGCAGCGAGCCTGAGGTATTCGTCGACTGCATCAAGCGCAGAACCATATGCCAACACACGAATAGCTGTTGTACACTTCTGAATTGTAGAGAGGCCAAACCTTCCTAAACCGTCTCTCTTTTGACTAAAGAAATGAACTTCATTGGAGAGTCGATCAACAATGCCTTGTTCATTCTAAATCGTCGTCGGAATAGATTTTCTGGATATGTTGGACTCTCACTAAAATAATCATTCCATAACCAGAGATGGCCTTCTTCACGTTGTCTTTCGATGAAAACCCTTGTTTCCTTGTCTTCCTTTCATCTTCTTGATGAGCATAAACATTGCACAAATCCTCAAATGTAAATTGTTGTATCTACTATTTAAAATATATGGTCCTATATATTTCTACTTTTTTAACTTTTATTATTCTGAATTTACCTTGAACTATTATTTATATAAAAATATACATAACATAATATGTTTATATTAATCTATGTATTATATATTATACAAATGTTTCTTTTTGTGACTTTTATTTTAGTTATTACTTATATATAATAAAAACATAATTATATATCTTTGAAAACAATATTGTTCATTAACTATTTAAAGATATGTAGATAATTAATAAGAAAAAAAAATCCTAAAAGGTAGGTTAATTAATATTGGAATTAATTATTATGTATATGAAATTAGTAAAACAATTTCTATAGAATTTATTTATTTAATTACGAAAGATATATATATGAAAATAATTATTTTCATTAATTATTGTTGCCATGATTTTTTTAGTTAAAATTTGATTTTGGAAATGCATTAATTAAAGTGAAAAGACATAGAATCCTATAAGGTAAGGTAATTAATAACTTTAATGGCATATTATTGTAAATAAAAGTGAAAACTAAGAGGTATTTTATATAGGTACTTCTCTTTTAATAATATAGACTAGATACTGATCTGCGCCCCCGCGCGGGTGTTTGATTTAACTTGTGTTTAACGTAAATTCATCAACTGATGATTTTATAAAATAAAGTCCTATATAATTTTTTATGTTTTATAATTTACATATAGAATAAAATATATTACTTTAAAATATAGATATTTGATAATACTTTTTTACTTGTACATAATATTAACTTAAGAATTTTGTAAATTAATGTAATTGTACGAATCATATATTAATCTGTTATTTATTTTTGTTAATTTGTTTTAAAATGAAATAATAATTGTTTTGCACTAATTTTCTATGAATTAGTATTAACTTTATAATATCTTATTTTCTTGAAAATTGAACTCTCAGATTTTTTTAATTTGATTAAATTAAATGAATTAATACTATATTAAAAAATTCTTTATATAATATATACTATATTGTAATTGATATTCTTATATTATCAATAATACCACCAACTTTAGAATTGTAATTAGTTAGTTTAAATTGCTTTTAAATGTAGTGGTAGAATCTGTAAATAAAAGAAAATACAAAAAGAAAAGATTTAATTTATTACAGATATAATGACTAAATATGTAAATAAAAGAAAATATTAAAAATATATTGTTATTAATGTTTCCAAACTTACTTCTTTTTATTATTGCTATCCTTGTTTCCAAAAGGTACTTCAGTTTTAATAATATAGATTAGATTTTGACCCGCGCTTGAAAAGCGCAGAAATTTTTTATGATTAAAAATTTATATAATTGAGTTTTGTCTTAATTTAAAGAATATTTTGGAATAAAATCAGTTCACCAAATTTTGTGGTTATGATTGTTATTCATTAGTTTTTAGTTTCAATTTTTATTCTTAGATTTTGTTTTAGATTTTGGTTTTTGGTTTTTAGTTTTTAAGTTTCTATTTTTGATTTTCAGCTTTTGGTTTGGGTTTTTAATTTTTAGACCCGCTGAATTAGTTTGAACTGATATTACTAATAAACAAATCCCAAATAATCGAACATCTAATTTAAAACTGAAAAGATGACAAAAAAATTAAAAGAAATTTGCAATAGTTTATTTTGTAAATAAATAAAAGCAAAAAAATATAATCTATTTTTCAGTTTTTGGTTTTGAATTTTAGTTTTTAGATTTTGTTTTTTGTTTTGCTTTACATTTTTTTTTAAATCAGTAAATTATTGAAGAGAAATAAAACAATAAATTATTTAAAAGTTACCATTGAAATTTATCAAAACAAAGTGATTGTTATTTAAAATAAAAAAATACATTAACATGATTTAAATAAATAATTAATAATAGACAATTTTGTTTTATTTAAAAATATTAAATACCTTTTGGGCTGAAAAATAATAACTGATTTTTTGATCCATTAAGGTAGAAAATTTATTCAATGTTTTTTTATACCTAAGCCCAAAAATCAAATCATATAATTTGTTTTAAATAAGCCCAAGACTATATCCCATAAATAACCATCGGTTTAATTTAAGTAATGCGGTTCAATTAACTATATGACTTGTATTATTTGTAACACTCTAGAAAGAGTCCAAATTTAATTGACAACTTGTATCAGTAGATAAAAAGAATGACTCTAGAAAGAGTCCAAATTTAATTGACAACTTGTATTAGTAGATAAATAACCATCGGTTTAATTTAAGTAATGCGGTTCAGTTAACTATATCCCCAATATATTAATTGAGGAACATTTGAAAAGATGTAACCTCAATTTTGTATTAATTAAAAGAGGCCCCAATGCATAAGTGTCATTCAATTAGGTAGTCAATTAGATTCAATTGAAAAATAAGTAAGTCAACATTGGGTTTTTATAGGTTGCTAGACACATTAGTTAGTCAAACTATATGATATAATGATATGATATGCTATTTCTTTCCATAAATAAAACATACGGAATTACCATAAATGACTAATATATATATGAAACTTAATGATTGTTCCCTAAGATATAATTACTATTTTATTTTATTTCCATAAATAAAACCTACGGAATTACCATAAATGACTAATATATATATATATATACATATATATATATATATATATATGACACTTAATGATTCTAATAATAAATATTTGATAACAGTTTATATATCCTCCACCATTTTTCTTTAATTTTATATTATTTAAAAAATAAAGCAATCAAATTAGCTATAAAATTAAACTTTAGATTTTTTCGTATAGGTTATATTTTGAATTTTAAGAAACGAGAATAAATAACTAAACTATTAAAATTATTATGTTAAAAATTAATGATCAATAGTTTAACATTTTATTATAAAAAGATTTACATGATTTTAAAACCATATAAGTAAAAAGTATCATTTAATAATAAAACACATATATATATACAGATTAAACTATATACCATATAAGATTACATAAATATTTTAATTTCAAAATTTTCAATAAATTTTCATGAACATTTATAAATTATAAACTTATTAAATTTTTCACATTGAAATTTTTTGTTATCAATGATTTAAATATCTTAGTTCTTTTTTAATTTTATATTTTTAAAAGATAGTAACAATCGATAATATGGTTATTTTTGGTATATACCATACAAACCGAATGAATGTGATTTTATAAAAACCATAGGATTTGGATATGGTTTGATTTATAATCGATTAAACTGAAACATGTAAATATGTATATATTTATAACGACGCATGAATATCTATTTGTTACATGAGTTGAACTATAATTATAATTTGTAAATAGCTAACAATTTATTACAACTAAGACTTCTTATTTTGATCTTTTGCTTT